GCAATATTTGAAACAAAGTTAATTAAAGTATTCCTATTTTGAAATGTTTCATGAATACTGGAAGGAATATTAACAGTTGCTCCGAGGATGGTTAAGCCATGAAATGAAAAACAATACCAATAATTCATCCTTGCATGATGAACATGTTTTCTTTCAAAATCGTCATGAGATGTTGGTTGTGTAATCTTGTGTTTCTAGTAGAGTACTAAATTTGGTGACTCCCCAGCAATTCCGGTTAAGCCTTATTTCGGTTATCGCTAGTTGAGCGAGATTTTTCTCCCTAACCGAAGCTAAAGTACATTTTTTTATCCTGTCAGTAGTTTATTGATGATTAGAAGATTGGATTTAAATACCTTTCTCCCCAGAAAGACTTGAGCCTTGTAGTATGATACGCTCTGACGTTGCCTTTTGTTCCAGTTCCAGTTATTTTCAGTCTCTTTGAGATTGACCGAGTATCTAATTATTTTGTGATATCTTATCATCTTCAATTTATTTCCTCTATCTGTTTTGTCAGCATACACATGACATTCATTTACTCATTTACACTTATATCATGCTTGCACATTCACATTTTTTGGTGATGTTGGGTTCATATGCCTTGTTTATGTCTGTTCATGCGACATATCCGCTTTTTCCAAATAGAATGTCAACTTAGGCAGAAAGTGTGCCTTCCTTTCTTATTCCCCAGCTGAGCTAATCCTCGTGGATGAATTTTTGATTTAGCCTTCCTTGTCCATCTCTGGATAGGGTGAATCCCCAATTGGGTTATTTTCTCATTGGGTGGAGTCTTGTTTGACTGTCTTCTCTCTGGTTTATTCCTGGATTGAGTTTTGTCTCTTGCATAGGCTACCTCGTGGTTTCCTCAGGATGGGCAACCTAGATGAATGACGCATTTATTTTATGCATTTAAGTATTTGATCTCCTTAGGAAGGATCTATTCATGGTTCCCTTTAAAGAAGAATTGTATTCCCTGGCAGTGTTATCACAACATTCTTCTGGAACATCTTTGGGAAACGGCAAGCGGCAGTCTCTTCATGAGCAACTTGTGCGTTATTTACATCTTTGGAAAACGACAAGCGGCGGTCTCTTCATGAGCAACTTGTGCGTTATTGACATCTTTGGAAAATGACAAGCGGCAGTCTCTTCATTTGTAACTTTTGCGTTATTGACATCTTTGGAAAATGACAAGCGGTGACCTCTTTATTTGAGCAAATTATATGTTATAGATATCCTTTGAAGACAGCAAGTGGTGGCCTCTTTATTTGAGCAACTTGTTATGAAATCTCTACCTTCAGAAGTCGGTAGTTCACTATCAGCAAAAGTTGATACATCTTTTGTCTATCTTTGACCTTAAGTTGTGAACTCACCATCATCTTGGGTCAATAATCTTTTTTTTTCGTGGCCTATGCAAGGCATCTTCTTTGTTAGGGTCAGAAGTTGTTTTCTCTCAAATTTTATTCTCCGTTAAGAGTCTATCATTCGAAGTCGATGGCTCATTTCCCCAGTAGTGTATAATCTCTGTTCCAGTGGGTTATTTGTGCTTGGTTTCTCCAACATTATTTTGCCTCATACAATATCATTCTCCATAATGTTCAAATACTACATTCATATCATAAACATAATGGCGGTATCTTAGGGAAAAAATTGTGTATTATGTATTTAAGTACCTCCAATCTCGTCGAGACGAAGATTTTAATCTCCATATCTCCGGATAGAAGAAACATAAATAGGGGCAGCTGTCATACCCCAATTTTTGACCTAAGATCCCTGCTTCATTTGCATTGTTTTATACAAAATTCAAGGTCACAGAATATGGTAGGTTTCAAATGTTTCGCCTTCGAGCTTTGACTGTGTAGAGATTATCGAGTGTTGTGAGCATTTTATCTTATGAATGACTAACTACTAATCAAGCACGAAGTGTATGTTTTGCTTTTTGATTTCATGTGCAGGAAATAGGTCTGAAAGAAGAGCATCGGATGTCACACATCAATTAGGGTTTCGAGTCTCAGGACAAAAATGCAGTCGATTGTTGATTTTCAAAGGCTGGTTCATCAAAGAATTTCAGAGAATCGTGTGTTTATTTCCACACTTTGTCCAACAGATGGTCTCAGGTGTCTCTGAAATTTTTCAGAAAGAACAGTCGAAGTTCTACTGCCATTGGTTCATGTGTGTTTCACATTGCTTTAAAATACAAGAAAACCAAGTTATGGCAGTCATTTCCGATCACTTCGACCAAAAGTCATCTGCAAGTTTTTCTCACGACGCGGGGTGAATTTCGTCAAAATGGGATGATTAAATTCAAAACCGTTCTAGAAGAATTTATTCGGAATACTTGGAATTTTCTTTATTTGAATTCAAGTGATAATTAAAGAGGAGCTACCAAGAGGTCTCATTCAAGAATAATCATTTATCGCATGAAATATTTATTCAAGATTATTTTGTGTGATTATTTTGGTGGATTTACATTATGGTTATTTGAACACACATGAAGCATTTATTAAGGAGATATTAGAAAAAGAAATTCGATTCAAATAATCGTTCATCACAAGATTAATTACATGATGGTTGCTATTTGATTACAAAATCAATTCATGTGATTTATTTGGATCTCTATTACAAAATGCAAGATTAAAGTCTAAGGCTTGCATTATCATTTATTCATCATTCAACAATTTATTCAAGTATTATTCAATTTTTTCCCAATTCAAATGGAAGACCTTGAATTTTTATCAAGACATATCAAGGTTCAATTTCAAATGAAGATTCAAAGTTATTTACAATTACAAGGGAATTGAGAATATATTGAAGAATACATATTCATTCATGTTACAATTTACTTGGATTTATTGTTACATAGTTACAAAAGAAATGAAAATTTTGTACATGAAAACCAAGCTATTATTCTTGCTACAAAACAGTCCCAATGCTGCCCATTTTTTCCAGCACTATTTTAATCCAATAACAGTCCAATTCTTGAGTATAATGTTGTCCATTTTCTCCAACCTTGTTTCAACAAAAACCATGCCAAGTTGCTGTCCTAATCTTCCCTGCAAAACAGTCCAAATACAACCCATAAGACAAAAATCTGCACCTTTGCTGCTACAAAAACCAGTCTACAAAACTCCAAACATTGCACTAAAATGCACATTTCAAAAAGCTGTCTCATAAAACATCAAAACAGAGCCTGAAATAGTTCAAATCTCTATTATTCCCCCCCCCCCCCCTAAAACCCCACATATTTCACTATAAATAAGGGCCTCTATCAACAGAAAAAGGGAGTTTTGTCCAAGAATCACACAAAAAAATCAGAAGAGGAACATCAAGTGAGAGAGAAAAATTCAGAGGGAACCACACATAGAAAATTCAGTAAGTGTAACACAAAACTCAACAAGAAAAATACAGAAATTCAAGGAGAGAAAACTTAACGTTTTGAAGCCCCATCGGAGAGGCTCCGATAGGTAATTTTCTTCCTCCCTATTTACTTCTGCATAACTTCCTCATTCACATGTTTGAATCTTCTCTTTACACCACTTTTATGCCATGTGAATGCTTGCTTCATCGTACCTCTTTGGCTGTATTTTGAGTCGCTGCAATATATGGATATTTAGAAATTTTAGAAATCATAATAACAGTAATAATATAAATTCACAAAGATAAAAATATACCTTCAAATTTCTCTGCTCAAACCATCCCATTTTTGTTTTGTTTCATCGTTCTTCTTTCTAACCAAACAATTTTCCGATTTCGAACACTATAATAGAAGAAGTTAACGTTGTTGAAACTAACAATGGAATTGTTTCATTAGCTATTGCGTTTGCTGGTCATCAGGAAGCCATGCCTTATCTTTCTTCGATATTACCTTCTGTTGGCATGCGATATAAACCTATCAATGGTTCGGTATTTTCAAAAATTATCCAAAATCTTCTACCTTACAGAATCAAAACAGTTCGCAGTGCACATAGAACTTGCAATTCAACTAGACCTTGAAAATAATGTCCAACATAACCAGAAAACTTGTTGAATTAATTCAGAATGAAACCAAAAATACCAGAATATCATAAATCATTAATTGCCAGCTCATTTGAATAAAACAAAATAGAAGGAAAATCAGAATATAAGGAAAAGGTGGAAGTCGTGAGAAAAGGCCAAATAGAAATATCAAAAGGTATTTTCAAGAGGAGATTAAATTAGAAAATTACTTACAGCCCAACAATATCAGGAAACTTTGAGAGCAAGTTTAGATCCATACATTTCAATTTGGTAACAACTTGGTTGATCCAATAGCCAAGGCTCTTTTATCGATAACAAGCTTTTCTTAAAGTTCCTGCTGCTATATAGCAACATTCCATGATTCATTATTGGATCACACACAGAGAGAAAACTTCACAAAAACTCAGAGAGCGATTCATAACAAAAATCAAAGAAAACTTACCATCTCTCTGCACCATTATCTTTCTCTGAACTAATTTCATCCTCTGTAAACTTCAACAAACTTCATTGCTGCATCGATTCTTCTACAAGCTTCAACACTTCATCACATCATTACAATCATCTTCGTTCTGTTACACTCTTCGCCATCTCTGCATCAACACACATCACTTTAATACTACATCAACGATTCTGCAAAAAAATGTTATCGTAACAATAACAACAACATACTCCCACCTCCTATCCATTCTCCTGCTCGAGCTTCCGACCACGATCCTTCTTCATCTAGAGCTACCTCTCTCCATCTTCCAATTCGTCTATAAGCGTAATTATCTTCAACCGGATACTCCCTCTAAACTTCCCTCTTTCCCCTTGTGACTTCCGCCTCTGTACTCAACCTTCCTCCTTTTGCCGCGACTTCCCTTCATCCTCCGATACGCAACCACCACCAGAACCACTCAAAAACCTACCTTCTAAATCAACCACCATCTATCATTAAACTGCATCGCAACCGCAACTCGCGATGATTCCAGCGTGATCCTTCTTCTACCACCGGAAAGGCTTTCTCTTCCATGGATTCACCTAGATCCGGATTGCCTCTAAATTCTTACGGTACTTCTCTTTGTTTTCTGTATTCGATGAAACAAGGTATTTGTGTTAGATCTGTAATGGCTATTAAGTTTGTAATATTGAGGGAGATAGTATTGGGACCATTAGAAGAGAAGAAGCAGAGGATGGGATTTAGAGAAAGTTTTGGCTTTGTGTTTTCACGGTTAAACAGAGAACATAAATGATTTTTTTTAGAGAAAGTCTTGTTTTATGGTAGATCTTAGAACAAAGTGTTTTTGATAATACTGTTAAATCTTTTTGCCTTCTCAATAATGCTACAATTCTGAGCAGCACACTTTAGGGTTCACACCAATCTTCCTTGTTTTTCTTCTAACCGGGTCAACTCCCTATTGGGCCTTTTAGCCCAATCATCCAATCCAATTATAATTTTTTCCTTTTGTATTATTAGTTTAATAATAATAACGATTAGTAAGGTAGCTCAGCTGGCAAAGTGCATTATCCATTAACCTTAAAGTCTCAAGCTCGATCCCTGTTGGGGCATTTTTTCTGTTTCTTTTGCTCATTTTAAGCCTTTTCTTTCAATTCTATTAATTTGATTTATATATATTAATTTAGTTTATATATTTTTATTATTTCATTATAAAATATAAAAAACCATGTCTGTTATAACTAATTTTTATTTAATTTTTGTTAACTTGTTTTTAATCTTTTATTATCTTAATTATTCAAAAAAACATGTTTCATAATTTAGTCTTTATTTAATTTTTGTTATTTGTTTAATTGTTAAAAAATACATGCTATCGTAATTTAGTATTTATGTAATTTTGGTTATTTATTTAATCGTTTAAAATACATGAATTATGTTATTATTCAATTGTCGCTCTAATTAATTTCATTCTCGAGCCTTAAAACTTTGTATCTTTTGCCCGTCTCAAATCCAAGGGAAATGTTTTGTTGGCTTCATAAGTAATACGATCGTGCGAATACCCTCATTCATTTTTGTTTTTCTAAACTTAAGATAATTTTCCTAAAAAAGACTCCATTTTTAAGCTCACACCTTTTAAGTCAAAACTTCGACATTAGGTCGTCGTATCTTCAAAATCTCGTCCACACCCATTTTAGCCAAACAAACCATTTTAATCAAACAAACAATTTTAATAAACAAATATTTCAAAAGGTTCCTTAGGATACTATAGATACATTGGGTGCTAATACCTTCCCATTGCATAACCAACCCCCGAACGCTAGATCTCTTTTCAAAATGCATTGTATTTTCATTACTTTTAAGTATTATTTTACATTGCATATTTTAGGGTTTTATTTCGCTCTTTTTCCTTTTCCCTTGGAAATAATAAAGCGCAGTGGAGACTCTTACTTTTGTGAGACGAGTTAATTAATAGCTCGATCTCTGATTTACCCCGCTACATTTTTTATCGCTACAGAATTGGCGACTCTGCTAGGGAAAGACTGACCTCTTGCTGGTCCATCCCTAAGTGGGTTTTGCACTGGCTTTGCCTTCTTTCTTCTTCTGGTGACCACCAAAAGACTTCTTTGGATTACTAGTATTAGTTTCAGAGACATCCTTCTGAATCTTTCTAATCTTAATTCCAACTTTAATCCTTTCCCCATAGGTTAGCAATTCAGCAAAATTATCGTAAGTACTACAAGTAGTATAATAGTGCCCCTGTAGGGTACTAGTAAACATGTCTACCATTTCACACTTTATCATTGGTGGTAGGACCCAAGCCGCTATTTCATGCCACCTTTGTGTGTATTCCTTAAATGACTCATTTTGCTTTTGTGACAGATTTTGTAGTTGAGTTCTTATAATCGATAATGCTGGATGAAAGCTTCAGCTAGCTCCCTACAGGTATGAATACAATTTCTCTCAAGTTGTATATACCATTCTAACGGCCTACCAGTCAAACCATGCTGAAAGAAGTGCATGAGTAGCTTCTCATCATCAGAGTATGCTGACATCCTCTTGTAGTAAGACTTGACATGTGTCCTTGGACATGAGGTGTCTTTGTACTTCACAAAGTTCGACAATTTAAATTTCGGAGGAATCCTCACTCCGAGGACTAGTCCCAAATCAGACATATCAAGGCTCATGGCACCTTGATTCTAAAACATTCACATACGCTCCCCGAGCATAAGTAATTTCTTATTCGCTTTTGTAGCTTCCTCAGAATTAGAAATCCAATCGCCATAGTTATCATCCTCAGCCTGTCAAGAGGGTATATGAACAAGTCTTGGATGGACAAAAGGTTGCTTATTATGCTGACGAGTAGGAGTGGTCGGAGGCAGATTCCCCATAACTTGGACCAAAGGAATTCCTTGGTTATTACCAGCATGATTACCAAGGTTAGCATCAAGACCATTCTGAAGACTAACACCAATATTTGCATTCAGATTCTGACCACCTGGATTTCCATTCAAAATCTGACCACTTGGATTTCCAACATCTCCTAGAGGAGGATTCAGAGTTCCATTCCCATTATCTGTAGTTGCATCAGGCCTTACAATTAAGGCTCTCAACTCTTCCTATTGGAGGGCCATATTCTCGATAATCTCCATTAACTATTCAACCCGAGTGTCTATCTTGACACCTATAGCAGCAACATCAACTTAAATCTGTTCCATTTGTCTTCTGGAATTACTTCTAGTGTTATCAGTGAGAATTGGAAGTAGCAATCTCTGAAAAAGAACCAGATCAAAAGTAAGAAAGCCTGCTGGAACCACCTGTTATGATATGATATGAATGAATGCATGATTAACGTTTGGTTTTATTCTTGCCATACAATTCTATTAGGCATACATCTAACAGTTCAATATCAGTGTGGGAAATTAAAGTGCGGAAACTAAAACCTAATTATTACATGGCTTCGGGGAGGGGGAATTTATAAGTCTAAAATTAGGGAAAAATAGTAAATGTCCTAGTTATTCTATTACAAACCATAAGCAGATACATTAATGATAAAAAGTAACAATGCTAAAATAATAAACGCGCGCGAATTGAAAAAAAAAGTCTAAAACCCTAAAATGTTACTAAGTAAAAGAACATTATTTTTTATTGTTTTTTTACATATTTAGGAAAATATTAAATTAAAAAAAACTAAATTTAATTAGAATAAAAATGAAAATTATTAACCAAAATTAAATCTAAACAAAACCTAATATTTTTGGCATTTTTTATTAAGAAAATAATTGAATTAAATGAGCCTAGTTCTAATTATTTTTAAATTAATGAAATAAAACCAAAACACATAACTAAGTTAATTTACAAAATTAAAATTAATTAAAAAATCCTAAGTCTAATATTTTTTTTATGATTTTGTTGATTTTAATTAAATAAAATGATTTTTTAGACATAAGACAATTAAATAAATAAGAAAAAGTGAAGAAAAGAAAATAAATTGGGCCTGGTACTAAAGTGAAAAAGGGGGCGTGTTCTGAAATTTCTGTAAGGCCCAAATCAGGGAGCCCAATGCTGTGCCTGATCGTGTGAGGCCTGACTCCTGGGGTTGCACCATGGGGGACATTCCTGGGCGCGTTGGATCAGATCTGTACAAATCTCGTGGCTGAGAGTTGAAGGGGCATGGTGGGCACGTTGAAACATGTTATGCTCGATCTAAAAAAAGGATGAGAAAAATGCAAAAACTTGGGGATCGAACCCAGGCTCTCCAAGCTTACACACGCATCCTTCACCACTGGGCCATCTATTCAGTCATTAATACAAATAACAAGAAAAAAATATATTTGAAACATCATAAAATACTGAGGTGTTAAAACCATTGCATTGGTTTGGACTGAAAGTGTTTGTACTAGGAGATACGACCAAAACGTCACAGGCTGCCCTAACAATGGTGTTTCTTGATTCCTGCCTTAAACCTTGCTTCTGCTACATCAAAACAAATCTAAACAACAACATGAGTATGGATCTATGCATCAAATCCATTTAAATTGCATGAACTGGATGATTAGAGCATGAGAATTTGACCCTACCGGAGCAACGAGATCTGCTTGTTTTAGGATGATGATGGAACCTTTGGAATGGATCGAGGGAAGCTGAATCGTGTGATATGAGTTTCACTTCTTCTTTGGATTTTTTGGAATTTTTGGGAGCTTTTTTGAGGCAGTTGTGGCGTGTCCTTGCATATGAGATTGTTAGGCTTATCTAGACAAAATATTTAGGTCAACAATCGTGTATCATATCTTTTATCATTATGGTGGAGAGATCGGATTTGATTTTTTTGCATGAAAACTTGCTATATTTGATTCAATCATGTGCCAATCTATTTCATGCGTTTCTGCTAGCTTGCTATGAGTTGTTTGGGCGTCCAGCTTGATGGGAATCAAAAGCTTACATGTCCTTGTAGATCCACTTCACACCAATGCTTTCTTATGTTGGCTCTTTCGACAAGCTCCCAAACTTTTCTCCTTTCGATGGCTCTGAGTTCCAGTTCGAATTGCTCAAGGCTTCATCATCGTGGCTTCTTCGATTAGGTCACCATCTGCATTGGTTGTGTAATCTAGGAACATCGGCCTAATCGAAAAATTCTTGTTCTTTTTTATCTCCTTTTCCTTAATTCTCCCAATCGAAGTATCACCTCCTCATCTTGACTTGTCTAAGCTTCGTTCTGTTCTTCTTCGATCTCATTTGTGCATGGTGGTTCTTTGATTCGACCAGTCGAAGCTTTGTTCTGGTCATCATTCTTCGATCACAGTTGTGACTGTGTCTTCGTCTCCACTCTCACCCTTTTCTTTCGTCTACAAGAACAATCTTTACTACTCACTAGTTCATCTTCGATTGGTGAATACAGCTTATATGAACAAATCGGAGGATAATTTAAGAGCACCAAGACTTTACTTCAATCATCCAACTTCTTCCTCATCTGTTCAAGTACATGCCGGAGACACATTGATCCCAAAACTCTAAGCTGACTCATATTTGGATGATTCGTCTCTAAATGTCCTTCGATCATGCCATGTTTGAAGGTTGCATATCCTTCGAACCATTAGATCAAAGCTTTCAAATTCAACATCTTCTTCTTTTCAAAACGCCAATTCAACCAACATGGCAATAGAAATTTCCTTCCTTGTAATGCTTCAAATGGCTTACATTTCCATGGTTCGAAAACGAACCCTTCGATGACGCTCTTTACTAGCTCTTACATCAATCGAAGACTTCACAAAAAGTCTCCTTACGCTTTCTTTCTAATTA